AACAATTACAAGACTCATTAGCACAATTTGGAACAGACAATTAGCAGAATGAGAAGGGCTTTTTTTTTTTAGGTTTGGAGATAATTACCCTAATCTGTTAAGAGACTTAAAAGTTTTAATTAAATGTAAGGCTTGCAGACATTGCGTTAGCCTCTCATACTTGCAGATTCAGTAAAAAGACTCAAACCTGTGCTAGCATCTACAGTAATGGTCTTTCTTACTAACATTAGGTTGTCTGAAAATCCAAACCTAAAGCCTTTTAGGTAAGTGCCTGCAGTCTAATCAAAGCTAATTAAGTTTATTAATTAGCGCTGGGATCAAGAAATACAGTATACATTTAAAGGATGAGGTGCCAAAAAAAGAAAGAACTTTGCTTTTGTAACTAACAATACACAAATGTATTTTGCATACTGAGCAGATGTGGGTAATACAGATGTAATGTTTTATTCCAGCAAAACTAGAAATTAGTCATGAAATTAAACAGACAGACAGGGAAAGGTAGAATTTTTATATAACTTAATAAATACTCCTTAGCTTTAGAAAAAAATTTAAGTTTGTGAGTTAATTTATCATTTTTATATGTCTAAATATTTCTCCAATCTATTCATCTATTGCTGCTCTACTTTTTCAGCAGATGTGCATTATTTAAAGTGAATGTCACAGAGAACATCAGGGTTTAAGGAGAAAAAGATAAAGAAAAAAGGCTCTTGCTCATTATATTCACTGTATTAAATGTAGTGAGTCTCTCTTGTTGCATTAACTATGGGGATATTCGAATTTTATTGTTTTAAAGTTGCCATTTTTTAATAAATTGCTCTATACTTTGCAGAAAGTTCAAAGCCTCTGAGTCTGAATCTGAACCAGCATGAGTCTAATTAGGGGAGATCACATGGTCGCTGCCCTTTATTCTCTGCAATGTGACACCTTGTGGGAGAACAGAACCCTGCAGGAATATGCTTCTTTTAGGTTCTTACATTAGAGCTGAATAGAGGGAGCAGCTGGTTTTTAACAAGCAAAATGTCTCTTTTTAATGCATGCCTGAACACTTGACTGGATGATATGGATGTATGTTTGAATGCATGAGTTTAGATGGCATCATACATATTGTTGACTTGAGTTTTGAAACAGCTTTAAGAGTTATTTAGCCCAAATATGACAAAGGCAAAAAACTAACAAAAATATTTTAAAGATAGTTAAGATAGCAATGGCTTTAAAATGTTTTCACATCTCTTTGGTTTAAAAAAATAGAATACAATTGTGTGGTGGAGGAATTGCTTTTCATTTTTCACATCACACATCAACAAAACAACAATC